ATCATTCTGACTATAAATTCTTATTACTTTTAGTATTAATGTAGCTAATGAACTTGGTTTTTCCTTAATTTTTTAGCAACGACAAACCATCAGTAAAAGACCCGGAGGATGTATACGAGAGTAGTTGTAGTGAAGAATCTTCGCCGATGGACATCAAAAACGATGCRAAGTGTACCTCGAAAAGAAAAGAAGACTATGGAAKGGACGGCCTTTATCTTGTTGGGGAAGATGAAAAAAGTAAAGCCTCTGATGCCAGAAAGTACACGGAGACCACAACCAAAACGGAACGYTCRAGATTTCTTAGTGAATTTGAAGAGGATGAATTGATTGCAGAGGAGGAAGAAGGTGAGATGCTATCCATCAGTTTCATTGCCGTCATCGATATTATGTTCTTACGTAAGGCTTCAGAATAAGCACRAGGGAGTACGGCTCTTTTGAGTAATTTTCGGGTTGGGGTTGTGGGTCAGACCTAAAGTTATTTTTCATATATTCTTGCCTATACCATCTAAGGCTGAGTGAAAGAATTTAAGGCTGAATTATAAATTTTGGATCCATACCATAGTTGACAAGTTGAAACTTCGGGGTTAGTTGGCTAGTTGGCACGTAACACTCGTCGGGTATCTTTTCGGGTGTACAAACTGGAGTTTTTCGGCGTTTCCTGGTATCTTTTAGGGTATCGAAGTAGGACTCCTATCGATATCCCTTTTTTGCACTTAAAATTAGTTAAGGCGATATAACTGACTCATCATCAAACGCACAATTTAACAGCCATTTTGTAATTTTTATGTTTGTATTTCCTATGGGTTAACATTCTCCCGAAGTCATTTTCTATATGCTGAGTAGATTTCCTGAGTAGAGTTTTGAAGCTTTTTACGATCGAGCATATCCAATATTTGATTTGTAGCCCCAATACAACGACTCAACCCGCATTCATCGCACGCGGTGTTATTCATTTAAACGTGGTGTATTCTTGTCYCTATTCTTACAGCTGGAAAGGGAACAGAGAAGAAGGAAAAGAAGAAAAAGAAGAAAGATAAACTAGATGAGCTTATGGCAATGATGCCTACAATGACGGAGGCTGTAACCAAGGCGGCAAAGGCACATGAAAAAGCCGTTTCAAAGTGGCAAGGGTTGTCGATCTCTGACTCTGATTAGCGAGTTGGATGATACTATACAGTCAATTCAAAAAAAGTTGTCGTCGACCAACTCAAGCCTACGCGACAGGACCGAAAGGAGCTCTGGGTAGCAATCATTGAAGCCGAGTTGACTCCGTAATTTTATCTGACTAGTTATGCCTGGTTTACAGCACGAACCTTAGTAGGCGAGCGGGAAGTGTTGGAGGAGACGTTTTTTTAATGCCTTCATATTTTCGAAATTGTGAACTGAATCATAACTACTTTGTTTTTCTTTCCCTAAACCCAAAGACATGCATTTGATGGATTGTTTCTCGCTATTATTATCTTTACTACTAGCGGCAACAATTTATTCAGAACGAATATTTTACCGCTTCAGTGATTTTTACCCATATTCCTTTCGATCCAGTCGCGTAGGCTTGAGCCGGTCGACGACAACGTTTTTTGAATTGACTGTATATTGACGTTTTATTGTTCACAATAAAGTTTTTCTGTTCTCTTTGTTTGCCTGGCGTAATGTCATTTTAAGTGTTCATATTTTTGCTCACTATTTATTTCAAACATTAGAGTTCACGCACTAAACCCGTGAAACAAATACTAACTTTAAACAATATAAAACTATGATTAAACAAAAGAAAACAAAAGATTCGGTATGAAATAGTACTAATTAGCACTATTTATTGTTCACGGGTTTAGTGCGTGCACACTATCATCGATGATAATTTTATTATCCATGATATAATTTGCTAACTGGAGCGTTTATCCACAAACGGGAGCTGCCTTGATCCCTTGGAACTTTAAACTGAGAAACCTTAGCAATTCAATTGATCATGACATGTATTAGAATGCAATAACTACGAACAGCTAAACAACAAAATCGTGAAAGTGCACAAGAAAACCATAATATTTTTATTATTGGTATTTTTCGTCGTTTGGGAAAATAAACCTTCAGAAGACACTAATTCCATAGTTTTCTTTCGTGCTTGTTTGTCTTTTCACTTTCTGTGCATGAATGTTCAGGGGATTCAGTAAAATCGTTCTACTGCGGCGCGTGTATGCATAACAATAGATGACTTAAGTGGGTCAAAACCAGACATGAGACAAATGTCCTATACATAAAAGGTCTGTTACAAACTAAATGGTCTATTTTCTTTCACGGTCATATGAAAATCACTCTAATGAGTTCATTCAGTAGAGTGCACGCACTAAAACCGTGAACATTAAATAGTACTAATTAGTACTATTTCATACAGAATCCTTTGTTTTCTATTGTTTAATTATCACTATTTAGTGCTAAAAATTAATATTTGTTTCACGGATTTAGTGTGAGCACTCTACTTTGGACATATATAAGTTGCATTACTCGGGCTCGACCCGAGTCATAAAATGCTGTTCGTGTTTGTACGTCAAATCTGCAATTGGTCAATAATGCGCAGGCGCTACCGCTTAGTGGAGCGAAGGCTCAGAGTTTTTCGATCACATGTCGTTTCAGCTTAGTTATACGTATTCTCGAAGTGTTATGGCTAAGGGAGAAGAAAGAATTATGGCGATTTATGTTAATACGCTCAAGTCACATACAGATCCACACGCCGTCGCGGTAGACCTACTGAAAAGGATGTCGAGCGTTTTCGGAAAGGGTCGTTCCGCGAACTCATAGTGCAATCAAATGAGTTCAAACGAGATTCTTACGAGATACAATGTGAGATACCAAATGAGAAATGTATGAGCACAAAATATGAACGAAGTGACAAACGTCAGTTTTGTCATCCAAACAAGCCGTTCTGAATTTAAAAGTAGATTGATCGCCGGACATCACAAACAGCCGAAGTAATGTTCTTGTATGTTGAAATCTGCGAAGATACAAATCTACACAATAGATGTCGCTCGAGACAACTAACCCGAATTTGCTCCAAATAAAATTTACAGACTCTTGAATGATAACAAATTAAATAGCATTTCTAAACGAATTTCTATAAAATATTCGCTTAGTTCACAGTGTAAATAAATAGTTTCATAGCGCCGTGACCCTTGAAGGTCAAGATAAGTAGTAACGTAAACCAACGTAACACGCATAACGCAACGCTTTATGTTGATCGTACCGATTGTATCATAACGGCCGATTATCTCGTAAAATCAGTTTTGAGCTCGTAGGTCGAATGATTCCTGAAATAAAGCATTCAGCCCGACTCTTAAATTGAAAACAGAGAAAGCGTTAGCAAATAGGTCTTCTTCCAATTTTACTCTATACTTGACTCAGTTGACACCATCGAAGTCGAAGCCGTCTTTCGTGATTGAAGTTCAGACAATTAAGTTATCACAGAATTCGCTTCGAAACTCAACAAAATAACTAAGAACTAAACAAAGTAGGTGTTAAAAGGAAAATGAAAGGACGTTTACTCATATTACCAGCTAAATTGAGTATTTAAAACGTGAAATCGAGCGAAATACTTTGAATCCTTCGAATGTCAACAAGCATAAGAAGGGCACAGGGAGCCCAAACTCTGAAAAGCGCAACTAGTATCCACGAGTTCGGTTCGAGGGCGGTTCGAGGCACGTGTAAGCAGCCTGCAGACATCTGCATATAAATATCAAATGTAACCCTTAGTAAAGTTTGATATACATGTAGTATTAATTTAAAGTTACAGATACTAATGTCGTTGCAAATTCGTACATCCTCGAGGTTTAGAGCAACTTGCTGCAATTTTTATATACGAAGCTTTCCAAGAATGTTGACTTCGCTACCCCGGTTGGTAGAAAAAATGTCCAGTCGAACGTTGCAATTCGCCTATCGAGAAAATTGTAGCCCACGTTGCCGGCGGTCTAAACAAAAAACCGTAGACCGCCGGCAACGCAGGCTAAGAAAATTGATTCTTGGTGACATGACGACAAGCGATAAACATAGCATAAACGTCTCCATCGGTTTCTCGCTTAACAACGTTCGCACGCATTTAACATGAGTCATACAGTCTCAGGTTAGCATTGCTCATGCCCAAGCGCAAGTTTTCTAGACTTTGCTGGACCGTCATCTGCTCGCTGAGCCCGAGTAATCGCTCCTCGGAGCGTCTAGTTGATCTAAATAAGCAACTTAACACCAGGGATCTGTTGTTGTCTTAAAGACAGTTTACATTCACTTGTTATGTCATTAGACTGTAAGTCTAACACTTCTAGACGACAATCATCACGTATTAATACTGAACACAAACACTGAGCACCAACATCTGTTATATAATTACCACCTAGTGCTAGGGTCGTTATTTTAGTACGAGGCAACATGTCACATATTATTCTATCACCAACATCTGTTATATTATTAGCAGCTAGGCATAGGTCTGTTATCTTAGTACGAGGCAACATGTCACATATTATTTTAACACCAACATCTGTTATATAATTACCATCTAGTTCTAGGAGGGTTATATTAGTACGAGGCAACATGTCACATATTATTTTGACACATTCATCGTCTAATTCACAAACAACCAGCAACAGTAGAAACACTAACAAGAGAATTACACAACATTCTGATCCCTGATGCTGATAAAGATGACAACCCACCAATGAACAATGTATTAACGATGAATGACTGTGTTTTTGAATGTTTAGTTTGTTCTGTGTTGATCAAATTCACTAGTATATCTAATAAATAACTTATGTACAAACAATCGATATCAGTTATTCTTCTAAATTCAATCCTCCCATCCCTATCACAGTATATGTGTTTAAGGTTATTTATTACTCTGGTAGAAAATCCATCGTCTTTGTACTCGTACAGACAGGATAAAGTTAGCAGTTTATTCCTSTYATCGTATTCATCCCCTGGTTTGATATTTTCTATCAACTTTTCCATCATTTTTTCATCTTTTTCTCTTGAAAACATTCCCGCCATGAACATGAATGTCACATCGCTCGTTTTCTCTTTCTCTGGGATTTGTTTTTTTCTCTACAAACAAAAAAGCACAGAGAAATTATTGAATCGTTAAGTGGGTAAACGTAAATTCAAGTGGTGGTTCCTCGAATGGAGATTTTTTAACTCCAGGACAACAGTCAAGTAATCCACTCGCTTTCAGGTTTGTTATTTCTTCATCGTTAAGATTGAATTTTTTCATATACTTTTCGTCGAAAATATATTTATCTTCCATCATTAAATTCACCGCTAGTTCAGCTAGTTTATGTAATATTTCTTGTACTTTAGTTTCTTCCATTTCTTCATATTTAGAAGAGGAATGTTTCTTGATAAATAATATGATTACTTGGTGGATAAAGTTCTGTTCTTGTGACGGGAAGATTGTCAGTGGTTTTTGATTCCGTCATGTACCATTTCATGCAGTAGCACATTAGAAAACACATCACAGGAATGTGACCAAAACTTAAAAAAATTTCATTCGTTTTGATGTGATCAAGTACTTTTTTCTTCATGCTTTCGTTCGCTTTGAAATATCTTTCGATGTATTCTAGCACTTGAAGTCAAGAAAATACTTGAATGTCACATCTCACATCGAAGACAATTTCATTTAACTCCTCGGCTTCGCCAGGCCTCGAGGATATCAGGATTACTGCACCGTTTAACATCTTTCCTTTCATGATTTTGGCAATCAGAGCAGGAACAGGTATTTTTTCATGTGGGTCGTTTGGGTATCTTGTCTCAAAGTCGCCGGTGATTTTCTCTCGATGCGTATTATACTCATTATATCCGTCAAGAATGATGAGCAGTTTCTCAGGATTTTCAATCATGTATTGCAGTAATGGCTCGTCTATCACCGAGTGTTCGTTCAGTAGGGAGGACCGATTTAAGATGTCATGTAAGTTAAGACTCTTTTCTTCTGGAAGAACAAGTTGACGGAATTTCAACAGGAATACAAACCGAAAATCAGGTACTTTGGCATTTTCTTGACCTTCCTCAAACAATCGGTTATGCGACCAATCCCGTACCATCTTATGACAAAAAAGATATTTTCCAATTCCTGCTTTGCCCGTCAAAATGATAGATTTAGGATTGTTCGTACAAGAAGCTGTAGATTTCTGATCATCATTTTCTGGGCAAAGAAACATATCTGAACAGTTCGTGAATTTTGTACTACTCGCTTGAATTTCATCCAATTACCTCCTGCCAAATCTCTTTTCTTTGGGTTCCTCGAAGTGTTTTGGACCGCGTTGGATAGTCACACTCGTAAAGATGTCATCGGTTCTAATTTTCTTATCCTCTTCCTCTGACAACAGAAAATCAGTTTGCTGTTTAATGGATGACTTCAGTTTTTCTGTATATTCTGAAAATGAAAACACAACAATTTAACTCCTAAAACACAGGAAGAAAAGGTAAGAATAAAATATCTTATAAAAATTTAGTAAAATGTGTACCCCCTAAGATATCTTTCAAATGAAAATGTATCCCCTTCTTCATCATAATTTAGAAAATATTATGCTCAGTAGCTGAAATTAAATGTCACTTGTTTTGCATGAAAGACCTAAAACTGTACCACCATAATTTAATATTACGAAACATGTACCCCCCAATTTCAAATGATCTTGAAATTTGTACCACTCCCCCCTGGAAATTTACTGCCCCCTCCCCCTACAACAGGATAAACGATCGGTATGATTGCCCATGAGCTAGACCACGAGAGCGTGGTCTTTATTGTTTTAGTATAAACCTACTAATAGGTCAAATAAATGAATACAAACAACGCTTTAAATTTTTTTTGAAATAATATATTTCTGGGTTGTTTTGGTTATCAAAACCACTACTAGTGGTCTATCACTAATAGACCACTAGTAGCTCAACCAATCAGAGCACGAGATTTGCAATAGACCATTAGTAGGTTTATACTAATAAAAAATATTCTTTTCGTATTACGCTTATGATTTTTGTTAATTCACAATGCTGACATTACCACACCTATACCTGGATAGCCGGGCAAAATTTTTTGATCGCAAACTTTACACTTTCTAGAGATCCACATGTATCACTGTTAGAGGCCTTTCAATATTTATTGAAAATGGGTTATGGGTGAGAAAATAGGGGTTCTTGGAAGTTTAGTGAAATAATTTTTGAGTTATATATACGACAGCCTTTTAAATGTTGAAAATAAAAAGGGATGTTGAAAACAAATTGGCATATTAATGTGGGGGATAAAGTGGGGGGTTGGAGGAAAAAGTTTTATTTTTTATTTTCTCACCAATACTTTTCCCCACCGATAAATAAAGAATGGTCCCTTGATTATTTGTTATCCATTATTAGACTATTGTGAAACCACAGGGAACCCATTACACTACACCCCTCCCCTCCGATAAATAAAGAATGGTCCCTTGATTATTTGTTATCCATTATTAGACTATTGTGAAGCCATAGGGAACCCATTACACTACACCCCTCCCCTCTGATAAATAAAGAATGTTCCCTTGATTATTTGTTATCCATTATTAGACTATTGTGAAACCACAGGAATCCCATTACACTACACCCCTCCCCTCTGATAAATAAAGAATGGTCGCTCGATTATTTGTTATCCATTATTAGACTATTGTGAAACCACAGGGAACCCATTACACTACACCCCTTTGCTCTGATAAATAAAGAATGGTCGCTCGATTATTTGTTATCCATTATTAGACTATTGTGAAACCACAGGGAACCCATTACACTACACCCCTCCCCTCTGATAAATAAAGAATGGTCCCTTGATTATTTGTTATCCATTATTAGACTATTGTGAAACCACAGGGAACCTATTACACTACACCCCTCCCCTCTGATAAATAAAGAATGGTCCCTTGATTATTTGTTATCCATTATTAGACTTTTACTAGAATTGTATCTCCATTTATTTTCTCAAATGTTGAGTATATATGTTCGTAATTTTGCAATATTGATATGAAAAAAACTATTGTGTCAATCAATCGTAGTTGCATTTTACGTTGAAGTTAAAAAACATGATCAAACTCATGAATAATTCATGCGGAAAACACAATAGAAATCACGACCGTGAAGAGTGTTTTAAATCTGATACAAAACTGTGTTCATTTGCATAAACTTTAAGTTGGATTTTCTTGGTCAAATTCACTTTAATTTTGAAAATTTTAGTGAAACACAAAGGAACTAACCTAGACGTTTGATAAGTCATATACAGTATTCGTGTCCGTGTTGTATCAGATATACAATCACTCGGCTACGCCTCGTGGTTGTATATCTGATACAACACGGCCACTCATACTGTATATATTACATAAACAATTGTTACAAACACAAGATTTGGCCTTTACCTTGTGCTCTTGAAGAGAGATCTTTTTATGCATGTCCATCACTTCTTTCAACACTATGATAGAATAAAATTATATTAATATTTACAACCCCAACAAACTTTAGGCTTTGGTTGTAAGGTTCATCTGGTTTTTCTTCTGCATTGTAGTTTCTAACAATAATCGATACCCAAGTTTCTGGGTCCTTGACCCATCACCTTTTTACATCCCAGCTGGTGAAGGGCCAAATATACTGACAGCTTGAGTAACAATTATTGTTAGAAAGTACATAGAAAAAACCATAAATGAAAATAAACAAGAGAAAATGAACTAAGAGAAGGAATTCCCCCTATATAGCCTTCTAACCATCATGTGCACAGTTTGATGCTATTTTTAAACCATTTGTTTTTCTGCACTCGCATTTACTGCGCGCACTCTACGCTGTTTGCTTCCGTTTTTGGGGGTTTTCCGTTATTTCGACTCTGCCCTGAATATGAATGTGCACGTCGAAAGCTTGGCAAATACGACAGGAAGTCGAAGTAGTAATTTGTTCAACTTTCTGGGGTATTCTTACATTCATTTTCCAAAGCTTTCGACCTACATCGTCATCTTGAGGGCAGATTTGAACATTTGAACATAAGAAAAGCACAAGAAAATGTTAGCAAACAGTGTAGAGCGCGCGCGTACTATGCGCGTGCAGAAAATCAAACGATCAAATAAATGATATCATTGGATGATACTTTTAGAATAGATTCTAAAAATAGCACCAAAGTGTGCACATGATGGGGCACGGGGATTCCTTCTCTTAGTTCATATTCTCTTGCACAAAAACTTATGATGGTATTACTGAACACAACCACTATGAGAATTAACAAAGCGATCTTTATAATCAAGAGATGGTCGTTAGAGAAAGGTCGAAGTCACGGCTGTATTCAGCAAAAAAATCTTGAAACTTCGCTCGAGCGAAGTTGTATTAGAACAGTTGTCAGTTTATACTTAAAGTGACTTCTTAAATAATCAATGTGGATGTAGCTCAGCGTAGGAAAATTAGCAAAAGACGAAATTTGGAACAATTCCGATGGAGTCTTGAAGAACATTCGGCCAGTTTTGTCATCCAAATACGTCGTTATGAATAAAAAGTAGATTGATCTCCGAAGCAATGTTCTTATATGTTAATCTGCGAAGGTACGAATCTACATAATAGATGTCGCTCAAGACAACTAACGAAAATTCGCTCCAATAAATAATCCGTAATTTACAGACTTGAATGAAGACAAATTAAATAGCATTTCAAAGTAGGTGTTAAAAGGAAAATAAAAGGACGACTTATCATCTTACCAGCTAAATTGAGTATTTAAAATATAAAATTGAGCAAAATACTTTGAAATCTTCGAATGTCAATAACTATAAGGACACAGGAAGCCCAATCTCTGGAACGTCAACTAGTATCCACGAGTTCACCAAATGGCAGTTTGATTTTTAATAGACCTCCAAAAATAATCAAAGCTCTTATTTTATTATTATTTTCGAGTGTCGAAATTGTTATCATAACAAATTAAAGATTTATCTCTACATGTAAACTCATACATACCTAGTTTTTCTCCCATTTCTTCTAACTTATACATCAATCGTTGTTCAGTATTCTTGATAGCGGTCTTTAAGCTTTGCTCAGTTTGTTCCCAATCTTCAAGTATCTTGATAAAGTACTTTTCATCTTCAACATCCATGGCTATTATCTTGAGTCTCTCAATCTCTGGTTCGTAATGAGGTCCACCCAGTCTCACCAATACATCCGAGATCTCACTCCAGTATTTCTCAAAATCACTGTCACTGACAGCTGTTTCTGTGATGTGGCCATAAAGTTTATTTCTATAATATTTGACTCGAGCCAAATCAGCTTCTCTACTCTGGTCTGTAGCAACAGGAGGCTTGTCCCATCCTGTTGGTGGGGGTGTTAAACCACATATATTGCGCAGTAGAACAAATAACAGTGTGATGTCAAAATGTACTGAAGTGACAGCTGTGCTTCGGCTAGCAGGATAGAGTCTTTCCCATTGTTGTTTGGTTAGAATCCTCTTTGCTCTCAGTCCCTTTAGAGTAGAATGCACTGTTGTACTGAGTAGTGTCCTATGAAGGGAGATTGGTGAATGGATCGAGTCAAATACAACTCTTAAGGCACGTGTTCCACCATCAATCAATAACTTAGAAAGGTGAGCAAAGTTTAGATTTTCTTTTCTTGGAGATACCCAACTGGTTGCCATCAGGTTTATTTCTGTTGAATAAAACTTACATTATATTCTTCATAATGGTGGGAAGCCCGGCATTTTTAAAATACACAGCTAGATATGGGAAATTGTACAAAAAGTAAACAATACCGAAGGGGTAAAAATGAATGGATGGATGGATGGAGATGGATGAATTAATGAATTAATGATCTAATCAGAAAATAAATAAATAATGCATAAATAAAATATATAAATGAATAAAACAAATAAAAATACTAAGAAAAAGACAAACGTAACAGACATGACAAAAAAAGAACAAAGGAAAGAAAGATCTC